GGAAATAATGCATTTTATAAAAAAACATGCGACGCCGCCAATAATAGCTCCGTGAGCGCTGAACACCAGCAGGCAGCGTACTACGTCGTTCGGCTTTCCAGGACTCGATTTTATTATGATTTTTTAATGGTTATACATTTCAACAATCGCCCACTCCCCACGAAATATCGAAATAAACTATTATTAATACGGTTCCTTAATTAAATACTTTTATTATTATTATTTCAAAATATTTCACATACACTCCACAGACGCGGTCTCTAGGACAATAGTAATTTAACAAATAACAACAGTTAATGTTTTAAAAAATCATTATAAAATCGAGTCCTGGAAAGCCGAACGGTGAGTACGCTGCCTGATGGTGCTTAGCGCTCACGGAGCTATCATTGGCGGCGTCGCATGTTTTTTTATAAAATGCATATTTCCACAAATTTTCTATGAATCAATCTGAAAATTTCCAGAAACCTTCCTTCAATAATGAGGAACAAATGTCTCACTGGAGGTTGTTTAAAATTTCAAGTTCCCTCGATACTTTTTATCGGCGAAACTAAAAAAACGTGATTACTGACTGGCCTCAATTTGCAATTAATTATTATTAAACAATAGGCGATTTTCAGCTTCTTTATTGTTTTGTAGGCATCGCCAGACTATACTGCATGCGTATACCAAATTTCAAACAATTTTAACAAAATTTGGCCAAATTACGACGATTTATATCTTAAAATCTTATTAAATTTGGGGATAAAAATTTTTCAGTTTTTTATTTTTATTATTGTTGTAACTGTGTGGGTTTTTCTGAGGCTTGTAATAACTGTAAGACCTTGTAATATATAAACTGTGTATTTCCTCAGTGAGGGTAAGGTAAGAAGTGATGCGCACGTTAAGGAACAAGTGTGCTCCTTCCGACGGTGCTACATGACGCGCCGCCTAGTAGCGTTAATGATCGCTGCGGCTTCTCAATTACACATATCTATATAGTAGACTAATCCGCGCGCATTACGAATCTCCACAACACCTTCCCTTCAAGGAGAAGCTTACTTTCTACGTTGCGGTTACAATAAATGGAAAATATTCTCTTAACATTATAATTCTTCCTTTAGGGTTCTAGGAAGTCCCCGTAACGTGACGGAGGTTTACGTGTTCTCGCCGAACGACGTATATCTTCCCTTATATCTACTAAGTTTCGATCTGTCTTGTGTTCTGGTTGTGGTGGAGTAGCGGGGCTTGCCGGAGTTTCAAACTCGTTTCCTGTTTGTTCTACCTCTATTTCATTATTGGGTATAGTGTCATCACCCAGAACTTCTTCAATCGGGCCATGAACATTATTATCTTCATTTAATTTTGGAGTCCGATCTCCGATTCCGCGTAGCTGATTCGCGTGTCGTTTCCATGTTCGATCATCATCTAATCTTATCTTATAATGTAGCTTACCTATTCTTTCTATTATTCTGCCAAATTTCCATTTTTTGCTTCCTGTATAATTTCTACAAGCTATTCGCTTTCCTATCGCAAATTCTTTCGTATTTATTGCTTCATTTACTGTATCTCTATCCACCTCTTTCTTCGGAAAGATTAGGTCTAATTTTGTACGCATTTTTCGTCCTAAAAATAATTCAGCCGGTGATACTTTCGTATTAGTATGTGGTGTTGCACGATATTGTAATAACATTTGCTCTAATTTTATTATAAGATTTGTTTCATTTGCATTCATACGTTTCAATGCATTCTTAAGGGTTTGTATAAATCGCTCCGCTTGTCCATTTGTGGCGGGATTGTAAGGTGCTGTACATTTATGTATAATTCCGTAACTTTTAAGAAATTTTTTAAATTCTTTGAAATAAATGTTCTTCCATTGTCTGTAACTAATGTTTGTGGAATGCCATACGACGTAAAAATATTTTTACATTCTTTGATAATCGTTTTCGCTGTAATGTTATTAACAATTCGTACTTCTGGCCATTTCGAAAACGCATCAATCATTACAAAAAACCATTTTCCTAAGAAAGGACCTGCGAAATCCGCATGTACTCGACTCATCGCTGTTGCTGCCGGTTCCCAGTAATGTTGTTCCACTTTTGGTGGATTATTTCGTACTTTGTTGCATGCTACACAATTTTCTACTAAATTTTGAATATCGTGATCTATACCCGGCCACCAGCAATAACCGCGTGCAATTCCTTTCATTCTACTTATCCCAAAATGACCAGTATGTAATTGTTTTAGTACTTTAGAATGCAATAATTGTGGAATTACCACTCGGAATCCTCGCATAATAATACCATTTTGTAAATTAAATTCTTCTTGATTTAAATTAAATCTATCCTCGCTTGGTACTTCGATTTCCTGTTTGCAATGCTTGTAGTAATTTTCTAAGTTTCAAATCCTGACTAGTTTCATATTCAATTTGCTTTGCGTCTATTGGGAAATCTTGTAATTCATTTAATTGAAATGCTTCTACTACGTCCATTTTCGTGTTAACCCCTGGTAATGGTAATCTAGAAAGACAATCCGCATTACTGTGTTCTTTAGAATTTCTGTACTTAATCGTGTAATTAAATCCTTGTAAAAAGATTGCGTAATGTTGCATCCTCATTGCACTATAAACTGGTAAACTTTTGTTTGATGCGAAAATTTGTATTAGTGGTTTATGATCCGTTATTAGTGTAAATTTGTTACCGTATAAATATTGGTAAAATTTCTTAATTCCGTAAATTATACTGAATGCTTCTTTATCGATTTGCGAATATTTTTGTTGTGTTGCTGACAAAGTCTGTGACGCGTATTGTATTACTTTTTCCGTACCATCGGGATATAATTGTGATAGGACGGCTCCTATTCCGTAAGGACTCGCATCTGTTGCCAGAATTAAAGGTAATTTCGGATTATAATGTGCCAAGATTTCATTGCTTAGAAAAGCTTGTTTTGCATTCATAAATGCTTGCTCTTGTGCTCTTCCCCAAATAAACGGAACGTTCACGTGTAACAGTGTATTTAATGGTTGAAGTATTGAGCTTAAATTTCGTATAAATCTACCGTAATAATTAACCATTCCTATAAATGCTCTAACTTCCCAAACATTTCGGGGACGCGGCATTTTTCTTATAGCTTCCATTTTTGATTTTTCTTTGAGTATACCTTCTTCGCGTAATGTAAATCCACAGTACTGTATTTCATCCATCATGAACTTCGATTTTTCTAAATTTATTCTTATATTATAATTTTGTAAACGCTGTAAGACTAAATCTAATCTTTGTAAATGCATTATCTCTGTATCGCCTGTAACAACAATATCATCGAGAAATACTGCCGTTCCTGGAATTCCTTGTAATATATTTTCCATTGTTCTCTGCCAAATAGCAGGTGCAGAAGCAATTCCATACATTAATCGATTTACTTTATATAATCCACGGTGTGTATTTAAGGTTAATATCTCACTACTTTTCAAATCTACCTCCATTTGTAGATAAGCTTGACGTAAATCTATTTTTGAAAACTTTTTCCCACCTGCCAGCTTTGCTATATTTCGTTAATTGTCGGGAGCGGATGCTCATCGACCACTAGCTTGGGATTGACTGTAACTTTGTAATCACCGCATATTCGTATTCGTCCGTTCAGATTTCAAAATTGGTACAATTGGAGTTGCCCATTCCGACGTTTCGATTTTTG